ATCTTTGCTCCAATTTGACCACAACTAACTAGATGATTTGAGATAGGTCCTTCTGTGTCCAGACCACCCTGGACCTCCTTGATCCCAACTGCACACTAGGCCCATGGAAGGATGTAGCTCTTCAGGAAAGAATCTTCCCATCCTATATGCTTCCTTCTGGTCTGAATTCAACCCTGGTCAGCAACCTCTTGCACTCTGACGTATGGGAGAAGGGATATCACAAAATTATAAAATTTAGAACTGGACAGAGGCATCAGAGATCATTCTCACTTAACCCCTTCATTTTACAGATGAGGAAACTAATACTTGTAGAGGTGATGTAAGAGGTGTTTGGTTGTAAGGGAAGTATGGTGTTGTAGAAAGAGCATCACCCTTATACTTAGAGAACCTGGATTTGAATCCTGGTCAAACTACCTTGTATGACTCTCAGGAAGTCTCCTCACTGTTCTGAGTCAGCTATTTCCTCATCTATAAATCTCTGCCTTGCACTACTCACAGAATGATGGTATAATAATGATAGCACATATTTATATAGTGATTTTAGGCTTATAAGAATTTTCCTCACAAAACTCTTTGAAATAGGCAGTGCAAATATTCTCATTTTACAGATGAGAAAGCTGAGGTTCAGAAAGAGGAAGTGACTTGCCTTTGGTTGCAAAGCTAGGAAATGATGGAGATTGAGTGAGGTAATGGATGCAAAGAGCTTTGTAAATTTCAAAGTGCTATATAGATGTCAGCTACTATTACTGTTATTCAAGATGATGATTCATTGGACCCCACTTAGTGATATAGCCTATTCCTTCACCTCACACTAGTCAAGCATGGAATTTCTCTCATTGGAAGATACCAATGAACCAGGGTAGGCTATTATAGGAGGCCAGTTCACTAAAAGATCTGGGGGGGTGGTAATTAGTGCACTGCAAGCTCAGTATAAGTCAGTAGTAGGACATGGTAGTCAAAAAAGTGACTACAGTTTTTAGACTGCATTAAAAGAGCCAAAATGTCCGGAACAATAGTCCTGCTGTCATCTACTCAGGTCAGACCACATTTTATTAAGGACAAGAGGGAGGTGATTAAAATAGTGAGGAGACTCAAACCCATGCCTGTGAAGATCAGTTGAATGAACTAGGTATCTTTAGCCTGGACACAAGAAGACTTTGGAGGGAATAGCTGTCTACAAATATTTGCAGAGCTTCATAGGAAATAAGGATTTGATATTCTCTGCTTAGTTCCAGGGGACAGAATCAGGAGCAATGTCTGGAGGTTGCAGATAGGCAAATTTAAGTTTCGTGTAAGGACAAAAATTCCAAGTCATCTAGAAGAGGAATGGGTTGCCTTGGAAGGGAGTGAGTTCCTCAACAATGGAAATCTGGTTGACACTCCATCAAGGAAATTGTGCCTTAAATAACTTTGTGCCTCTCCCAAGGTCTGGCATAGGGATCTATACATTATTGGTGTTTGTTAAATGTTTACTGAACTGAAGAAACCAAAATGATATGAACAAATGTACCAAAATACGATGTTTGGAATTCATGTATAATTTCAGCTGGCATTAGCACAGCTTTATGCTATTATTCTCTTCCTTCTACCTACTCTTTCCTTCCTTCCTTTTTCAGTCCCTAGTTCCAACCATCCTCTCAATGACAGCCCCCAAATAACATTCTAGGGAAGACAACCAGTAAGGTGAGATATTTACAGTATGGTGAGACTTGTCATACAAGGGAATGATTGAAGGAAATGAAGATGTTTAGAAGAGGATCATCTTCTAATTTATTTTAGTCATAGTCATGATTTAGAATAATAGAATGCTAGATTTAGAGTGGAATGGACCATACAGCTCATCTAGTCCAATGAGATCTAGATGAGATCCAGAGAGGGGAAAGGATTTTCCAAAGGTCAAAAAATAGTAGTAGTAGTTATCAGCCTTCTTTCCATTGTACCACACTGCCTTCTCTCTGAGCAGCTGTCATGCAGAAAAAGAATAAGATTTATTCTGCTTAGTGCCAGAGGGGAAGTTGAGGCACATACAAGAGAGTCAGTGTTTGACTTGATGTGAGGAAAAATTTCCTAACAATTAGAGCTCTCCCAAAGAAACAGGCTTTCCTCACAAGGTAGAGTCTCACCCAGCATTGTAGAGCTTTAAGAAGAGGCTGGATGACCATTTGTCAGGGATATTATAGAAATACATGTTAGACATGTGCGTCCTTTGAAGTCCTTTCCAGCTCTGAAATCATGTAAGTCTATGATTCAACTATTCCCATCCCTTCTATCACTCTCCTCTTCACAGCAGATAAACAGGTTGTGCTGTTAAACTATTTGTCATTGAGACAATGTAAGGGAAGTCTTTGGGATCTGTTTCCTTAAAGGCTTGATGACTTATTAGCTTCCAGAAAGCTTAGGGCTCCCTTTGTTCCTCAGCTGAGTGACCCTTGGCTAATCACTCTACCTTCAGGGACTCTCAGCTTCCTCATCCATTAAATGTAGCTAATGCTGGTACTTCTGAACTCCCTGAGGCGCTACAGAGGAAACACCCTGGAAATCTTAAAATGTTGTAGAAATATGAACTCTTATGATTATCCTGTGCCTCTAAGATTCTATAGCCCCGCCCCTTCTCTACTTCACTGTTTAAAGAGGGCAATCTAGCTGGCTTCCCAGCCACACCAGGCATAGGGTAGTTGTAGGAGCCCAAACCTGTCCTCTCTTGGGAACCTAATTCTGCTGGTAACAGAGACCTGAGTAGAGGGCATCACTCATGAATTTTTCTTGGCTCCCCAGTATGTGGTAGGTGGAGGTTAAGGCTTAGAGATCTTCAGGGAAGGCTCAGAGCAAAAGCCTCATCTCTTTCAGGAAGCCTGGTGACTTCCTGAGTGTAAATTCCAGAGGGCTCTAGCATGGAGCTAGATAGTGTATCTTGTTAGCATGAGATGGAATATATGACAATATATATGAGTGGATGGGTGAAGCTGAGTGTGTGTGTGTGTGTGTGTGTGTGTGTGTGTGTGTGTGTGCGCATACATGTTATGGTTAGTATGAGTTCGTGCCTATTATCATGAAGAGTGGATGAATATATGTGGAAGCAAGGTCCATCTGTGTATCTGAGCCAGGGGTATACTGTGAAAGTATATGGGAATATATGTGATAATTGGTAATTATGTATGTGGGGGGGTCATAGCGAGGGGAAAAAGTGTACATGTCTGTGTGCATATGACATTGAATTTAACCATCTGTGAGGGGGTAGATGGGTATATGTGATAGGTTATATGATGTAGCCATCTATGAAGACCAGAGTGAGAGGAAGCAGAGATAGATGTGTAATTGTGTGTGACAGCATGAAAGGTGGGGAAGCATATGTGTGACTGTGTGTATGTGTCACAGTAACTAAGAGTGTCAAAATGAGGGTCAGAAGCATCAATAGGAAAGGATGTATGAATGCATGTGATGGTATGACCACTGTATGAAGGGTAGAAATGTGTGAAAATGAGTAGCATTGTCATGGTATTTGTAATTATGAGTGTGAGTATGAGAGGGGTGGAAGTTAATAGTGATTTGGGGTGTGTGCGTGTGTGTGTGTGTGTGTGTGTGTGTGTGTGTGTGTGTGTGTGTGTGTGTAACCCTGTGTACCAGTATGGTATGGAAAATATCCTCATTAAGGGTGTGTATACATGCCTGTGATGGGATTGGAGAGTGGTTTTTTTTTTAAAGTGATTGTGTGCTTGTATATAGGAGAATGTGAGCCTCCAAGTGTTAGCATATGGGTGTCAAACCCTATTTAAAAAATATACAGAAGTGTGAACCTATTAGAATGTAAGTGTGAGTGTAGCTGAGAATGTGTGTACCATAGTGTGCAGCTATGTGTACAAGTGTGTAAACCTATGAGAATGTGGACATGTATGAGTGTATTTATTGGAGAGCAGAAGCTGGTGTGTGAGAGTGTACAGATGAATCCCCACCCCCAACCGCTGACAGAGTGTGAAGGGGCAAATTTCCCTCCCCTGTCCGCCCCCTAAGGTACTGACAAGTTGGGGACCAGCCCCCTGCCCTCCTTTCCTACACACCCCTTCCCCAGAGCAACACCCTGAGATAAGTGCATGAAAAACAAAGAGGAAGAATGAGGGGGGTAGCTGCCACACGTGTGTGCGCCATCCCTGGTACTAGATTGGGGTGGGGGGGAGACAAAGAGAGCAGTGATGCTCTTGGCTGTGGGGCGGAAGCAGCCCCGGCTTGGGGTAGAGGTTTGGCAAGGAGACGGTCTGGAAGGCAGCCACAAAAATTGCCCCCTCCCAGGCCTGGGATCCCTCCCCTTCTGCTGTTCTCGAATTTACACATGTGTGCATATGTGTAAAACGCATAAGGCTGAGCCCAACACAGGCACATATATGTGTCTGCACACAAGCACGCACATGGCACAGATCTCTAGCCTAGGGCCCTAGCTTCTGCTTCACACACAAGGAATGGGGGTGGGGGGTGGGAGAGGGGAAAGAGAAGAAACGGGTTCTTACCCCCATCTTCCTATCATCGGAAAGCAGGCAGCTGGGGCTGGACCAAGGGCCCTCCCAACTTTCAAGGTGAGGAGGGGGAAGAGGGAGAGTGTCAGGGGGAGGGGGCACCAAAGACTCAACCAGGACATATGCCTCCCCACCCTTCCCTAATAAACAGGAGAGTTAATACGGGCACTGAATCTTGAAACTAAGGAAGACAGGACTCTGGGGGAAATAGCCTGAGGCTACGGCCTTTGGGCCGGGGGTGGGGGAGAGGTAGGCTGAATGTTGCGGGGGTGGGGGTTGGGGGGAAAGACTGAGCTGGGGAGAACTGAATCGGGGGGGTGGTCTAACTGAGCCTTTGGAGGCCTGGGTGGGTCAGGAGTAGAGCCCTCATCCTCCACTCTGGTTCGGCCCACCTGTCCAGTCCGTGAGGACGCCCGGATAGGGGAGGAGGGCAAGGGACAGATGGGGGGGGTGTAGCGGCACAGTGAGTTAGGGCAGGGGCTGGGATAGGGTTACCTGTGCCCCTTTGGAGCAGCCCTTCCTCCTCCTCAGGCCGCCTCCACTGGGGTCCGGGAGCAGCGCCCGTCTCACCCGTGCCCAGTGCCCTGCTCCTCGCGCCCGCGGTCGCCGCTGCGCTGCTTCCTTCAGTGCCCAGGCTGGCGCCGAGCGCAGCTGTCAGCCCGCGCCCTCCGATGGAGCATGCGCGGGAAGCCGCTGCCTCGGAGACGAGCAGGACAGACGGGGGAGACGCGGGAGAGACTAGAAGAAGGAGGGAGGAAAGGAGGGAGGGAGGGAAGGAGAAAAGGGGGTGAGAGAGAGAGAGAGAGAGAGAGAGAGAGAGAGAGAGAGAGAGAGAGAGAGAGAGAGAGAGAGAGGAAAAGAGGGGGCTGAAGATATGGAGAGGGAGAGAGAAAAAGGAAGAGAGGCAGACAGAAGGATGGGCAACCAGGGGAAGGGAGAGGGCAAGGGAGAGAGAAGGGAACAGGGGTCTGTTTGTGACCCTCTGAACTAGGGCTAAATTCAGAGGAGGGAGAGGAAGCAGCATTTTGTATCTCTACAACTATAGAGTCATACTGCTCCCCTCACACAGATACCCCACCTCTACTCTCCTTTGTTCTAACTAGAGTTTTCCATCGGGAAAGAAAGCACTTTTCGTTACTGAGTCTGGGACAGGGTAGGGAATGAGGGGAAGAGATGATATGAGCCCAGACCTGCTTCTTGGATATGAACTGCTTGACATTTGCTTCACTAACCCCTTAACCTCTCCCCAACCCCCAGCCACCTCCAAAGGAGATACTAGAGGAAAATCAAGGAAATTGCCTGTATGGTTTAGCCCCCCCCATCCCCCCCCCCACCAATAGTCTGTGGCTAGAATTAGTCTGTGAGCTGATTGGATCAGAGTTCATTCTGAAACTAGAATTAGGACTATCTATGACCAAAGTCAGGGTTCAGTCTGAGACCAAGATTAGGGCTTAATGCCTTCACTATGACGCTACTCTCTGACCACCTTCATTCCACTGGAAACTTGGAATCTACCCTCTGGGTCTCCAGTTCTGAGAGGTGAGCTTTTGACTTCTCTTGCTAGGCCCCAGACTGTCATGACACTTCCCAGCTATCATCTCACTATACCCTGGTGAAGTTGCTCTTCCTCTTCCTCAGCTTTTTCCAGCAGTCCTTTATGTGCTGTTTCCTCCATTAGAATGTAGACTTCTTGAGGGCAAGTATTACATTGCTTACTTTATATCCACAGCATTAAGCATAGTGTCTGGCACACAGTGTTTAATAAATGAGCTGTTCATCTATCCACCAATCTAATTAGCAGGCCTAGTCTATGACTGAAGTTAGGGCTCAGGCAAGAGGAAGAGTGGGACTTTAATTGTGACTGGATGCAGCATCTATCTGTATGATAGTGACTTGGCCATGAAGATATGCAGCCTTCGACCTTGGCCTTGTTAGGGAAGAGATCTGGCAGCTGAGCTGAGGGGCCCAGATGGCTGTCATATCTGCAGTCTCTCCCCCCCACCCCCAACCTCGCCAAGGGCAGGGACATTATCTTGACTGTGAATTCTCCTGCACCCTGTGAAGGGATGGTTAGATGTAGGGATGAGGCTATTGGTCTGAGGCTCTGGTGTTGCCTAGTGAGCAGAAGACAAGACTGGGGTGCGGGTGAATGGAGGGGGAAGTTGTGAATGCTGAGTGGATCCTGGTGCAGGGTTCAGCTCAGCATCCCTGAAGATGCTGAAGGTGCTTCAGGTCCCTACCCATCCCCCCATCCCCCTCATACAGCATCAGCCTGGGCTGAGACAGGGTCTACTTGGGATTTATGGATGGTCAGATGAGAACCACAACCCCCTTCTTGACACTTTTCCTTAGGAACAAGCTGAATAATAATAAACAGGACAAGGGATTGGGTCTAGAAAAGGGATAGGGACAGATTGGAAGATCAATGAAAGAACAGAATGGAAGAAGGATAAAGACAGGAATGGGGATAGAGACTGGATACAGGAATGGAGACTACAGAGATAGGGATGGGGACAGAGATAGGGATGGGGGTAGGAACAAGGGGTAAAAGAGGAATGGAGATGGAGAAAGGCACAAGGAAAAGACACTTAGAAGCTAGAACACAGAATAAAAGTCCAGGGTACCCCTGCAGACTTCTGGGGTGCTCAATTTAGTCAGTGACACTGATCAAACACTGAAAGCAGCCTCCAAAAACTCACACCTTTTTGATTCTCCCCAAGGCACCCTCTGTATTCCTTAGACAACACCACATTCCACACACTTGCCCTCAGATCCCCTCATATTTCCCAAAGACAATCACCATACATACCCACTCCTCTTAGAGACACCTTTTTCAAACACTTTCTCTCCATTTTCTTTCCACTCTGAACCTACATAGACACACAGCTTTCATAGACAGTCCTCCACCCTGCCATCTCTCACAAACACTCCTCATATGCTTTCTTCACATTCTCATGTACATTGACCCATCAAAGATGTCACACACACACACACACACACACACACACACAAATACATCATACATACAAATGTGATTTAAAAAAACACACTTATCATACACAAACAAATGTAGCTGTGAATCTAAGTTGGTATCCAAGGAAGGGAGTAGGGAGAGTTTGGGAGTCTGTGTTGTTGGAGAAGGGGACTGAATAAACAGTCATGGGTGCTTTCTAAGCATGGGAAATGTGAGGCTGTGGTGGAGGCTCCATGGAGACAGGCTGTACTGGAGAGGAGGCTGGAGCAGACTGCCCTCCCTCCCCTTTCCTGCTTCTTCTTCTCCCTGCTTCTGACTGTTCCTGGCCTTGGCTTGTGTGTAGGTACTCGAGTGTGTACATGCGCGTGCATGCACACACACACACACACACACACAGACTTTCACAGTCAGCCATCACACACAGCCCAAGTTGTTCACTGATCACCTGCATTGAAGGCATCTCACACAGCACACAAGTATCTCTTCTCTCAACCATACCATAAATTACATTCCTTTCCTTACACTCCCTCACAAACTCCCTCCCTCCCATGTCTCTCCCTCTCTCTCTCTCTCTCTCTCTCTCTCTCTCTCTCTCTCTCTCTCTCTCTCTCTCTCTCTCTGTCTCTCTCTCTCCCCTACCTCTCTCTCTCTATCACACACACACACACACACACACACACACACAAAGATACATTAAATCTTTCCCTCCCCCTTTCTCACTCTTTCCTGACTATCCATCTGACTGACTTTCTCCTCTTTTTCTCTCACCCACATCCTCCTTCTTTTGACCCCCATCAATACATAACATACATGAGAAGGACTACAGTCAGTTGGCTGAGGTAGGGCAGGGCCCCCAGTGGAACACATTCATTTGCTCTTCCTTAGTGTGAATAGGCAAAAGTAAACATGCACACATGCGACAAGTGCACCTACAGATAACACACCTATGAATAATATACTTATGTACATACATGGATACATATTCACATAGATACACACAGATAAATAACTTCATAAAAACACAAAGACACATAGGCACATGAGTGGATATATACCCTTATACATACTGATGCACAAATATACAAATACATACACATGTACATCTATAAATGGAGGTACACATGGAGGTAAATGAACACACAAAGACACACAAGCACATAAATAATATACACAGACCCAGAAATAGACATACACAAAGACAGACCCAGTTTAAGAACTAGTGGAAGGATGAGTATCTTGTGCCATAGAAAGCAGGACAAAGATAAGGGATAAGGTAAATACAAGCACTGTCAGCTCTGACAGCTCCTTAATTCCCTTGTGGCTATTCATATACATAGGCAAACATACATTCAGACAGACACACAGGCATAAGAGAAGCCTAGCAGATAGGCCTAAACTGGCCCCTGGATGGAGTGGGATGGGGTGGGCTAGGCCTAGGGTGAGTGAGTTTAGGCTATGACTCACACATGAATCATATCTCTGAGCAGTTGCTAATCTGGCCACCTTTGATTCCTCCAAAGAGTGGTTCCACCTCCTTCCAGCTGCTAGGGTAGAGGGTTGTCAAGAGTGAGGAGAACTTGGTTGGGGGGAGGGGAAAAAAGACACAAGTGAGAGAGAGGGAGATGGGAGGTTGGGAGGAGCTCCCCCAGGCCCAGGCTCTTACTGTAAGAAGGGAGGTTCAGGTTGAGGTGGGCTTTTTCAAATTCCTCTCCACCCCCAACCAGCATAGCTCCTGATCAGATGCTTAGACAGCTCCCCAACAGGGCAATGGTGATGGGGGTGGGAGTGGTGGTGGTGGTTTGACAGGCTGTTTATTTCATAGTTAACCCAAAGGAAGGGCTTGTGCATCTGTGCCTTTGTCTCTGTCTCTGTATGAGCTTGTTTATGCCCATGTGTCCCTTTGGTGTCTGTGTATTAATCTTCTCTTACAGATGACAAAGGCTCAGAAAAGAGAAGTTACTTTCAATTCAATCCCATCCAAAAGTCATGTATTAAGGCCCTACTATGTGTAAGATATGTGCCTGGCATTTAGGGAGGTAAAAATAAATTACAACCATTCTCAAGGAACTTTTATTCTACATTTCACATAGTGGGTCAGTAAAGAGTCAGGACTTAGCACAGGCCTCCTGATTCCCAGCCTAGAGCTCTTTTCTCTGAATTTTGGCTGTATCCAATGGAAGGAACCAATTTCATTTTACACATTTGGCACTAATTTCATGCAAATAAATACAGATTTATGCAAAGTGATGCCTCTGTGTGTGTGTGTATGTGAGAGAGAGAGAGAGAGAGAGAGAGAGAGAGAGAGAGAGAGAGAGAGAGAGACAATGGAATTCTAGTGTCCTAATATAGGGGTCCCCATTCTATTTTGTTTCTCTCTTAGGTGGGTCTCTCTCTTATTGGGTACAGGGACCACAGATCATGACTAGTCTTATACCATTTCTCATCACTAGCCTCTAAATCCCTCTGGTCCCACACACAAACATAGACAGTGGGGCCCCACAGGGGAGTGTCATTCTCCTGTGGACAGAGTGGAAAAGCCACATCTCCCCTGAATTGGAAACCAGGGTCCCCAGTGGGAGGAAAACTGGCAAGTGAAGAACTGATCTCAGGCACTTTGGGGACAAGGTTTGAGGCTCCACCAAGAAGTTACTTGTGCTGCCATTGCCCAGGCTCATCACTAGGAAGAAAACTCACCAGTGTGGATGGCAAGCAGCTGGTGCCCAGATAATAACAGCTCTCATTTCTATAG